CAAGTGTGTGATTTGTCCTGGAAGCATTGACTCCCCTCTATTCTCTCACCCATCCAGCCTTTAGTGTAAGTAAAAAAAAGTTACTCCTGCTGGACTTTTTAAAGTTCTTTAGCATCATTTTCCTTTGCTTCATCCTTTAAAGACTTTGTTACATGTGCCTACGTTTTACCCTCAACTTATCCATGGGTCATATCAAAATCCATAATTATGGCCCCAAAACCTGCCCTCAACTTATAAATGGGGTTGACTTATAGTCAAGTATGTACAGTGTGTCATAATGTAGATAAAAAAATAGTGTTTTGCAAATTACAAGAAAGGTAACAAGAGTGATTTTTTTCTTTAGGACCCCTTGTGTGGTACATATTCATAACCCCTTTTTACCATCTATTATATAATTTGTGCGCATGCAAGTTGCCTACTCTTGATATGTGTGTGTGATACAACATTCATCTTTGGTGACTGTGTTGCATTATATGGAATTCTCTAAATTCTAAGGAGATCCAGATGATTATGTCAAATAAACAATGAAGGTCACAGTTTGTGTATTTCTGTTCCCTTTCCATTTTATAATCCTACAGATGTGATTTATTGCATTTTTACTGTTTGCTCTTAAAAATGGCATATTTAGTAGATGCTGCCATAAGGTTAGAACGGGCATGTGAACTTCATACATGCTGGCAGACACTTTGGGATTGTTATAGAATAAGTTTTTGGCTGTAGCTGCCACTCTCCCTAGTTTAAGACTCCTGGTGTCTCGACTAGGTGTTTCTTTAAACAGGTCATGGCTACAAAGACTTTAATTTATTTTCTTTAAAACAACACCACCAGAAGGGGACACATTAAAAAAGATGGTTCCAACAGTGGTGAACAACTATAATAACTAAGCCATTCCTACAATACCAAAAAATACCAGTGCTAAGGACAAAATGAATCACCTTTGTTCCCTGTTAATTGATTTTTGTAGGCATCTGGAATAATTTTATACATTTAGGATGGTCCAGCAAGGCAGTTTTTATGTTCTTGTGAGAAAGCATAAAAAAGATATAAAAAGAGCAGCAGGTGAAATTTACCAGAGGATCACGAAGCTCTCATGTGGGAGAGCATCTGTGCTATGTTGTTCATGTCTAGCTCCATCAACAACTGGGTGGTTTAAGGGGGAGGTGGGAAGAGGAGAAGCATGGAAGTCCAAAATTAGGCAATGTGTTTAAGCCTCAAGGTCTTCAGTACAGAGAATAGAAAGGATTTTTTTCTGTTTGCTCTCTCAGAAACCTGTGTTTTCCACCCAAGGCAAGTGGTACACATCCAAACTCTTATTGCTGTTATGTTTCCAGAAATCGAAACCCACAATTTGGCTACTTTCTCATCCCAGTATCATGGGGTCATATCAAGCAGCTTACCTTTTTCATCTTGGGACTTACTAACATCTTGGTTTAAGCATTTAACCAGATTTTTGGACATTTGTGTTTCTCCCCTGACTTTGTTTTCATTTTGCAACCTAACCCTGATGACACTTCATGAAGAATTCAGAGTCTTGAACACTTTTGCAGGATTATGGTTAGCTGTAATACCAGATTTCAGATTTATGAACCAACAGTTCAGCATCCATTCTTGTATGCTGTTAACAAGGATGTGCTAAAGATGTCAGCTTCATTAAGTTGCTCTGTTCCCTGGAATCACCATTGCCTTAATGATTTGAAGAGGTGTTCAGTTAGCATCTGTGGTTAGCTTTTAAAGAGAGTGGAAAGTGAGGCTCTGAGAGTCTTGCCTAATTGAATTAGGAACAGAACTGTGTAACAGATCCCACTTGCAGCCGTTCCCCTAACTCGAGTACCGAGAATGTGCTGTGCTCGGCAGCTTGAGCAGCAACAGCATCCATACAGCTGTGCCTCTTTGGCTCATTGGGGTGGATTTTTTGGACTCAGCCTGCAAATGTATTTTAAGGGTAATGGGAGAAAGTCCACAGTTGTTGCATGGAGGGAGCGCAGTCGACATCCACTGATATAAATTATCCTCCCCCAGAATACGATCAATGTGTGTTTTCTTTCCTTTGGAAGAATTAACACTGTGGGGAGATTGTTTTGGCTGGAATGAGACTGGCACAGGTGGGAGCACCTGCTTAAATTTCCTTTGGTGGGAGTCCGGCATATTTTGGTTTCACATGTTAAAACTGAATGTCTGCTGGGCAGGGCAGCCCAACTGAGAAAATGTCTGTAGTTTTATTTGCCATGATATTTTTCCCATCCAGATTTTCACAGTTCATTGTTTTGGCTTTTCCACAGCAAATGGGAAAAAACAGCATGTGAAAGACAAGGTGCAGCTCAGTTGCCTGAGTATTTTGATATAGCATCCTTTCTGTGCCATGCTGGCTTTCCCTGCTTTATGCAAGTGACATGTATCAACCTTTTACAGAAAAACTGCACCAGCAGCATGATCCAATCCAGTAGAGCCATTTTAAGCATGAATGTGCAGAGGTTTTGGTGCATTACTGAATATTCAGAAAAACCTAAAAGATAATCAGGTTGAGGATAGTATCACCCAAATACTCTAAAGGCACCAGATTCTGTCTGATCTTAGAAGCCAAGCAGGATCAACCCTGGTTAGTACTTGGATAGTAGGCCACCAATGCATACCAGGTGCTATAGATATCTTTCAGAGGAAGGAACTGACAAAATCACCTCTGAGTATTCCTTGTCTATGAAAACCCTATGAAATTAATGGGGGCACTAAGTCAACAAGCAAGAAAGGCATGTGCACACACACCACACAAAGTTGTATCTTTTAATCGGCAGACAAACATCACTGGTGGAAGAGATTCATTCCCCTCCTTTGTAACCCCCATGTTTGCCCTCCATATCTGGGGCTAACCTGTTTTCAGACTTGAGGGACTTTTTAAAAACCCTGGTGTGAGGGATCTGGATGGGGGCAGAGGTTTTATTGGGGGCCCTGTGGGTTGCATGCAGTGCACATACCATAGGTTGTACTTTGTCAATCTTGGCAATAATACTTTGGACCAATACGCATATGTAATAATATGCACTCTCACCCAGAGGTTGCATGATGTGCTTCTGTCTTTGATACCACAGGAGAATGAGAAGTATAAGACACTGAGAGATAGAAGATCCTAGATTAGTTGAGATCTGTAGCTCATAACTATATCAATTAAAAGACTGTGTGAAATTATTCTCTTTTGCTCTTCTGAAAGCAGTTAATTAGGAAGCTGCCTTATAACACGCAAGACAATTGTTTCATATAGTCCAGTATTGCCAAATTTGAAAGTCAGGGAGTCTTGAGACTTTCAAGCAGAATTCTTTCTTGGCTGTACTGGGGTTTCCAGGTATTCCTTGGTGCTTTTCTGTTCAAATAATAACCAATCCCAGCCTTGCTTAGCTTCTGAGATCAGAAAATACTATGTGTGCTCAGAATGGTATGATAGTCACAATTTTTTTTTTTGGCAGAAAGAAAAATCATGGAAGAAACAGCAAGAAAGATAGCAAGGCTGCAAATAGAGCACAATAAAATCTTTGTCTCAACACAGAATTCTGTGAATGATAGGGATGTGCTGTGTTAATTTATTCATTCCTGTAAGGGAGAACAATTTATTTACCTCCCATATGTCTCTGAAAATTATGCAGTCTCATAGGAGGTGAAAGTGTCTAGCAGTATGGTGAGAGAGGATATCGCCCCCTATATACAACATTGGGAGAATCAAGGCGGGAAACCAGATGAGGATCTATAGGCAATAGCTTACCAGGATCCTCCGCTTACATGCCCTGCCTGCTTGCAGTTTGACATTGGGATGGTGCAGGGTAATCTTGGAGAGCATTTTGAGGGTACAGCCTTCCAGGATCCTTTCTTGGCTCACCCCACCCCATGCAACATGGAGCAGGGAAGCTAGGGGATGAGCAGGAGACTGGTTCATGATAATGCAGTTGTTATCGAAGGCACATAATAACAAGTCATGTAGGAGGACATCTCGAGGACCACATTGTAAGATGTGACACTTGAGGTAGGTGTATTGACTACAGTGAGGAGTACAGGCATGTGAACCTACCAAGTGTCAAACATTTATGTTATATATAACATGTTCCATGTCTGCAAGAGAGAACTAGTGTGATGTAGTGGTTTGGGCATTGGACTATATCTCTGGAAATCAGGGTTCATTTCCTCACTCAGCCATGTAAACCCACTGGGTGACCTTGGGCAAGTCTCACATTCTCAACCTCAGAAAACCCCATGGCAGGGTTGTCTTAGGGTTGCCACATGTTGGAAGTGACTTGAAGGTATACAACAACAACGTCTGTGAGACTTCAGAGCTCTAAATGATACTGGTACTATATGTACCAGGTACATATAGCTATAGTGCCAATTGCCTTTTCAATTTTCAACTATTAGAAACTAGTACAGAGGTAGGCAACCTTTCCCCTTTAAGGGCCGAGGGACTTCAGCTCCCAGAATCCCAGGAGCTATTGGCCAACATGGGACTATTGGCCAACATGGCTGAGGCTTCTGGGAGCTGAAGTCCCTCGGCCCTTAAAGGGGAAAGGTTGCCTAACCCTGAACTAGTAGGATCAGAAAATGAAAGGTTTTACTGATGGAGAAAGGGGAATCAACAACAGTAGCACTGCTTCCTAAATGTGTACTGTGGGGTTTCTACGGCTTTTATTGTTTATGGCATGTAGTGGAAGCAACTTGGCATTTCTTGTAGACAGATTTGACAGTACTGTATTCAGAAAGGGAGTTTTAGGAAGTTATGAATGCATATGAGTGTTAAAAGGAAAAAGGTGGTACAACATGCACACCTATAACTTTAATTTTTAAAAATATTTTTCCTCAGTATTGCTTGTTCTTGTGTGCTTTCAAATCATTTCCAACTTATGGTGACCCTAAGGCGACCGTACCACAGGATTGTCTTTGCAAGATTTGTTCAGAGGAGGTTGTCACTGCCTTCCTCAGAAGCTGAAGGAGTTGTGACTAGCCCAAGGTCACCCAATGGGTTTCCATGGTCAAGCAGAGATTTGAACCCTGGCCTCCAGAGTCTTAGTCCAGTGTTCAAACCACTACACTGCACTGGCTCTCTCAGTAATGAGAATATACACTTTATTCTGTTTTTCCAACATAGGATAAAAAGACATTGATTGGATGATGATCTCTGTTTTCTGTTTAAGCTCTGAAAATTTTAGATTGTCAGAGAGAAGAAACAATCAACAGAAGATACTGTTGTATTATTAGATAGAATGTAATATGTGCATTGAATCAATAATTTTCTTAAGACATTTCACTTTCTACACTGTATTCTGTTTAAAGCTTTGCATAAGACACAAGGTTTTTCTCTTGAACAATCTTCACTGGTTTGAATTTCACTGCCTATGCATATTTCACGTTGTGGCCGCTGTCATAGCTATCAGCGCACATTAGGCTGTTTAATTGTACCCCAGATTCTCATACACTGAGACGGTAAAATGATATTTGTGCAGCAATTTGCCCTATAAATAAATCATCAAGATTCTTTAAATTATATATTCAAAATAGAAAGGAACCGCCTCATGTGTTAGAACATAAGAAGGGTCCAGTGGATCCAACCAAAAGCCTAACTAGTTCAGTATTTTGTTTTTCACAGTGGCCAGCCAGATGCATGTGGAAGCCCTCAAGCAGGATATGAAAGCAATAGCCTTCTCCTGTTCTTTTCCCCATGTAACTTATATTTGGAGGCATGCTGTCACAGTAGCCATGGATAACCTTATCCTCTGTAAATTTGCCTGTTCCCTTTAATGTCAATCTGTTAGTAACTGGACTAGTTGACTCTGGCTTCTTAAGCCATTTGTGCCAAATGTTTAGTAAGTGATATGATTCCATTCATTTCTTTGCACATAGGTGACCTATCTAATAGCTTGAATGGTGCTTGGCTGATACAAGATTAAAGTTTTCAGATTAACTGGAAATTGAATGCTGTAGTTCTTTTCTGTCTGTGATGCAGCAAAAGACTTGAAATAATTTTCCTCTGGAGTCCATCAACCATTTTGGATTCTGGTGCACTCTTAAATCTTACCAGTTGTTTAAATTTGTTTAAGAAACAGGGAGCAAGCTACAATTATTATTATTATTATTATTATTATTATTATTATTATTATTATTAGCTTTATTTATTAAGCACCGTAGATGTACATGGCGCTGTACAAAACCAAATAAAATCCAGAATATATAAAAAGCCTGCCTGTGGTGTACAATCTAAAAGTAAAAAAACAAATTAAAACATCATAAAAACCAGTGAAAATATCAAATATCAATATTAGGTCACAAGATCAGTTGCTCCTTTCTGTCCTTTCCCTGAAAATATCTCACTGTCAAATTGCCTTTAATGTTAATATTGACAGTGATATGAAGCTAAATCTGTGTCTTGAAAGTGGGGAGTAATATCAGAAGTCTTTATGACAAAGATGGGCATCTTCTGGTATCATAGGGCCACAGCCACTATTTTGGGGCTTCTGGAGCCCTTGTACCCCCATATGTATTGAAGTGCCAGAATATACTTTTTTGTGGGGTTTTTTTGGTCTATGAGGCTATGTTCTAGAAGAAAATTCCTGACATTTCACCTCCATTTGTGGCTGGCATCTTCAGAGAATGGTGGCATGGAAGTGTGTGGGGGTGTATATATACTGTGTGACCCTGGTTGGAGTGATTTACATATTAATCTGTGTATTGTTTTGTGTTGAATGGCAAGGCTTTAGGATGGGAGGATATGCAAAGAGGATTAGTGTTTAATTAGTGATCCATTGATCCTGAAAACCCACCAAAAACATGACTTAGAATTGTTGAGCTTTTCTACTAGACAAAAGCAGCAGGAGCTGTTTTTAAAAGAAAGAAAGAAAGAAAGAAAGAAAGAAAGAAAGAAAGAAAGAACATGTTTTTGAAATTTTCTTTGTGAAAGGTTCCCCCTGCCCCCCCTCCCATGAATAGCTGCCAACAGCTTTTTTTATTTGTCATACTTTCCTTTCCAACCAAACAGCTTGTCTTCCCATCATCATACCTGCTTGTGCATCAACATTGTCTGGTTTTCCACTTTCTGTAGTAGACAAAGTGGCTTCATCCATAATAACACTTCAGTCTTCTCTTCAGAAGGAATACAAAATCTCACCATAGGAACCAACAGAATAAGTAACATTGTTATTGCTGTTCATGACAGACTGGATTTTGGTCAGTTGGAATGAGTATAAATAAATGTATTATTCTGTTCATTTCTGTCCATTTCAGGTAACAAATCAACTCTTCTAATTGAAGGACTGAAAAGTACTGTTAGTCTTCAAAGACATAGTCAGTCTGGATCAGAGCATAAAGAGATCTTGTTGCACCTTTGAGATGGAGAGAAAGATGTTGGTAGCATAAGCTTTCATAAGCTTAAGTCTACTTCATCGGTTGCAAGTCTTGTCATTCTTGGAATGATAGAAGGCAACCAGTTTCTGCTTGCCAGCCATCCCATACACTCTGATTAAGGAACAGAACTATAAATATAAGAAATAAAATAAACATTAGCCAGGCAGTGGGCAAATTCAGAGAAGGCTGGGGCCACCTATGATTTTCAGACCCCAAGTCCTTGATAATCTATTAATCCTCTGTTTGATTACTTAGGAATTAGGTGTGCTCCCTATTCTGGGTAATCTCAAAGTCTTCCAGTAAATTTGGAAGGGAGGAGTAAGGAAAACAACAAAAGTATTAATTTATTGAAACTGTGGTTTTTACAATCTCTATTTGGGGTTTAGAAGGAAATTTCCGCAAGGTCAGTAACCCCAGAGTTGTTTTGCCTTCTGCTTAATATGTGGTTTGGCTCATTCCAATCTGCTGTGCAGTATGATGTAACATGTTTGCTCCCTCTCTCTGCTCCATGTGGCAGGGACTGGTTTAAAAGTCTGATTTTAGTTAAAATTTTGACAGTCTTCTTCTGGAATCCTGCTGCATTTACTGTAAAAACTGCTTGACAATGGAAGAGAGGCTGCTTCAGAGGGTGATGGACTGTCTTTCTTTGGAGTTCTTAAAATGGAGATTTGCATGGGTATCTTTCAGGAGTTGTGTATTCCTGCATGGCAGAAGGTTAGATTAGATTGCTCTTGTAGCTTCCCAAGTCTTAAGTTTCTGTGATTCATAAAACCCATCATTGGTGGTGGTTGGAAGAAGCTTTCTCAATGGTAGCCCATGAAAGATGGGATAGAAGGCAGAGAACTGGAAGTTTTATTGAGCAAACTGGCTAAGGGAACAGAGGGAGCATATTTGTGAGTGGAGGCAGTGTGAATATAGGTAGAGTGGACAATGACTTCAGATGAAGTGGAAGAATCTGGTTTGCAAATTGGTCATGGCCCATGTCACCCAGATGGCCACCTCGCCCCTCTTAATGCACTGCTACTTCTGTACTTTGCCATCTCAATCAAAGCTGGATATAGAGATTACTTCCCTCTGATATTTTATTGTCTTTCTAGTACATATGAATATTCATAGAGAGTTTGAATGGTGTCCTTGGTAATATATGGCACTTGCATTTATACATGCCATAATGAACATGGGATTTACACTTATCAGAAAGAACATGCCACAGTAACATGGGATACATAGTGTGCTCTTTTTATGCTTTATACCCTAGTCATTCAATAGATTCTCTGCCACATGACTGTGTGATGACTACTAGACTGACTTTTAAGAGGGATGAAACAGACCCACAGTGCATGTCTACACACATCTTTTGAAAGCCATTGCTCATAGGAGGTAAAAGAAACCTCCATGTTTATAGTGGGCATACTTCTAAATTCTAGATGCTGGAATCCAGTCCTGACAGAATGAGGCAGTCTCCTGCCAGCAGTAGATTTTAGGTGTGTCAGTTAAATGGAGCAAATCATTAGTTATTTAATTAGTTCTAATCATATTTTTATGGCTAAAGATCAAAAAGATATTGAGGGATCTTCTTCCTCATGTATTTCAAACCCTTAACTGTATTTTGGGTGAGCAGAGCACCATTTGCTACTCTGTTTCTGGCAGCAAATTAGATTGGGCCAGTATGAAAACCCAGTGAGTAATTTTGGGCAAGTCACACTCTCTCAGCCTCAGAGGATGGCATTGGCAAACTTCCTCTGAAGAAACTTGCTAAGAAAACCCTATGATAGTTTTGCCTTAGGAGCTCTGGTGGCGCAGTGGTTAAATGCCTGTACTGCAGCCACTCACTCACAAACCACAAGGTTGTGAGTTCAGTACCAGCCAGGGCTCAAGCTTGACTCAGGCTTGCATCCTTCTGAGGTCGCTAAAATGAGTACCCAAATGTTGGGGGAAATTAGCTTACAGTTTTAAACCGCTTAGAGACCGCATAGTGTGGTATGAAGCGGTATATAAATGAAGCTGCTATTGCTAGCTGCTATTAGAGTTGCCATAAGTCAGAAATAAGTCAAACAACACACACACACACACACACACACACATATTAGTCTTTATGATGACAAAAAAAGGGGGAAAACTCTTGCTTTTCCACTTCCCTGCACAATTCCTGTGAATATGTGGCTGGCCAGTGTTGGAGAAACATACATGCCTCTGTGGTATGTATGTATGCATTTACAGCATGCAGTTGTGCTAATAATTTACCTAAAGCCTTAAAGTTGGAGTGTGCTACAAATGGAAACAAATTACTGACTCTTAACATTGGCTGGGAAGCTTTTCACAGTTCAGCGCGCAGTTTTAGTACTTGTTACACCAGACACATTGCAAAGTGGTGTTGAAAGAGTCCAGGGATTGAACAGGCAGAAGGAATGGAATATAGTTCCCTAGTTCTCATAGTTTCAGGAAGATCTTTGTTTGCTGTAATTCCCTCAGCAGTTCTTCCAGATGTTTGCATGTGAGGCATAAGGTTTTTTTTCCCTAAGACATTGTTTTCTTTTCTGTACTGCAGCTGAGCAGGCAAGGGCTTGATCCACTGGGATGCTTTGAAGGAAATAAATTAAGATTCAAATTATGTGTACACTTCTGTTTAAATTAAATTAATATTCTTAAACTTCTCACATAAAGCCAGCCAGCTCCTTGAAAGTATAGCTAAGGCAAAGACAGTTT